AGAAGAAGAAGAAGAAGAAGAAGAAGAAGAAGAAGAAGAAGAAGAAGTGTTTATTTTTCCATGAAATTTAAAATTTGCATCATGGCCAGCATGATTTTAAAGTTGACCTACTCTCCTTCGTATTGGTCAGAAACTTCGTATTTGGTCAGAGTCGTGTTGGGGTGTGTGCAGCTTGCAGGCATTAGAGGAGCTGAAGTGAGTTACTGGAAGGCTTAGATCAGAAGGCCCAGGGGTTCGGGACTTTGGCAGCAAGTTCCAGCATGGCGGACGGCGAACAACTCAGACAAAGGTGCCCTCAGAGCGTTTGGGACTGGGCTGGGGAAGAGCACTGCGGTAGTTGCCCGAAGCGCTAAGGGAGGAATCAGAAATCAAGGCGGAAACCAAATGACAGCGCAGTTCGGCGGCTCACTCTGCCACAGGGGTCCCTACGTTAACCTCTCTGCTCTGCCAACCGTGGTGTTAGGGGCCTCCTTTGTCTTTCGGTTTTGAGACTGTTTATGTCATTCTTAGCCTTTTATCAATTTCCAAATTTCCAGTGTTTCTGAAAATTCTATACCCCATCAGTGCTCTAAGACATGCTATTAAGTCACATGGGCACTCCTGTTTATCTTCATTTGTACACCTGTGGGTCGAGCCTTGACACCTGCCTGCCTGCAGACCGGTGCATCTGGGCAGTGCTCAGACTCGGCCCGGGGGGAGGGGGAGGCGAACGCTGCACCCGGAGCTAGCCGCCGGGCTGTTTGCTCCGCGCGTTCCGCGCTGGAGCGCGCCGCGACGTGGGAGCGCGGGGGCCCGCGTGGGTGGCGGCGGGAGGGCCGAGCTCGCGCGGGGCGCGGGGCGAGCGAGCCCGGAGCGCGCCCTCCCGGCCCGGCTCGCTAACCCGCGGGCTCTTGTCTCCCCACCCCGCCCGCTGCAGGTCTGGTTCCAGAACCGCCGCGCCAAGTGGAAGAAGCGCAAGAAGACCACCAACGTGTTCCGCGCGCCCGGCACGCTGCTGCCCACGCCGGGCCTGCCGCAGTTCCCGTCGGCCGCCGCCGCCGCCGCCGCCGCCATGGGCGACAGCCTGTGCTCGTTCCACGCCAACGACACCCGCTGGGCGGCGGCCGCCATGCCCGGCGTGTCCCAGCTGCCGCTGCCGCCCGCGCTCGGCCGCCAGCAGGCCATGGCGCAGTCGCTGTCCCAGTGCAGCCTGGCCGCGGGGCCGCCGCCCAACTCCATGGGCCTGTCCAACAGCCTGGCGGGCTCCAACGGCGCGGGGCTGCAGTCGCACCTCTACCAGCCCGCCTTCCCCGGCATGGTGCCCGCCTCCCTCCCCGGCCCCAGCAACGTCTCCGGCTCGCCCCAGCTCTGCAGCTCCCCGGACAGCAGCGACGTGTGGCGGGGCACGAGCATCGCCTCCCTGCGCCGCAAGGCGCTCGAGCACACAGTCTCCATGAGCTTCACCTAATGCCGCCGCCGCCGCCGCCGCCGCCGCCGCCGCCCGGGAGCCCGGAGCCGCCTCCCCGCCCAGACCCCGCCCGCGCCCCGGCCTCCCGCCCCCGCCCCTCCCCGCCCCGCGCTGCCCGCTCGCCCAGGTCGTGCTCGTGCCCTCCTCCCGGACCCGCGGCCCGCCTCGCCCGCGCCTCCCCTCGGGCTCCGTCTCCCCAGCCTCGCCCCTGCTCCCGCGCCCGGCAGAAAGCATCCTTCCCGCCATTTTACTTACCAGGGAGTCGACTCAGGATCTGAACTCAGACACCAGTGGACTGGTTTGTGGGCAGACACACGCGCGCACACTCGCACACACTCGCACCACAGCTCACGTTCAGACACTACACGCGCGCGCAGACAGTGCACCTCGGCCACACGCGGACGTGCTCCAGGTGCAGCGCAGCGTTAGGGATTTTTGTCTTAAAGGTGGACAAGCATCTGCTACCAACCGCCTCATCCGAGGGCCCAGCCCATGTACTTTGATTTGTCCCTGCATTCTTTCTCCGAACTCCTCTCTTTCTCTCCCGGCCCACCACCCTACCCCGTCTCTCCAGCCACGTCCACGAGACCCTCTATTGGCTTGCAAAAGACCGCTTTCGTTATAGCTCGGTTTTTCTGTTCTTAAGCACAACTGTGTGAGGGTATAGAAGGGAAGGCTTCTCAGGAGGAACACGCCAGCGGACTGGGTGGCCGGAGCAGACTGAAGCACTTGTGTGGTGAAGAGGTGGCCTTTCCCGTTGTAATAGGTCTTTATAGGAAGAACAAAATACACTTGGAAGGATCTTTTTTTCCTTTTGTAAACGCAAAAGCCACACCTCTTTTCTAGCTCCTTCAGGACTGGTGTTCGTTTGCTTCCTTTCCCGTTTTCTCTCCTCGCTGCTCAGTGCCCTTTGTTGTTTTGTGGTCGTCCTACCGCGTCCTTCGCGCCCCCTCGGCCTCCTGCCGGCCGCCAGGTGGGTGCAGGCGGACGTCTACAACCCTGCAACTTTGTACAGAGAAACACAATCAGCTCTTTCTGCATGTGCTGGTCAATCCAAACCCAGAGAACAGAAGCGCTTTCTAAGAATGAACAAACCTGTGAAATAGGATGTTTTGTGTAGATAAAGCATTCTTGTTACATACTGGTCAATTTGTGATATGTTTTAACTTACTGTCTGTGCTTCTTTATGGAATTTGGTTTTCTTAATAAATGTTTGAGCTAATATAAAGCATATTATTTGACTTTTCCGGACAAGTTTATATCAAGTCAAATGTAAATGGATAAAATAAAATCATTTTCAGTATGTGATACAGAGAATGATGGGTTTTGACTGCGGAGGCGATTCCCAGAGGGGAGGGAGAGGGCGAGTCTCAGTGGCGAGGTGGTGGCTGGGGCGCCGGGGCCCTTCACCGCGCAGGAGACTAGGATTTACTTTCTGGACAGCACTGCGAGGCCTCCAAGGCCTCCACAGCAAGACTGCAAGCTGCGCGCAGGGCCGGGCCGGGCCGGGCGGCCTGGGTCAGGCAGGCAGTGCCGCAGCCGGGCCGCGAGCGCTGCACGCGAGCTCAGGGTCTCGCGAGGCTTTGGGCCTGACACGGGGCGCGGGGTCAAGCACGGAGACGCTTCTGTGGCCCCTGGGTCGGTCGGGAGGTGGCGAGGTGGGCGCCCCTCGTGGACTGAGGTGAGGGCCGTGGGCAGGAGGAGGTCGTGGCTAGAAGGCCTGGGCCTCGAGAGCCGGGAGCTCGGCGCTAGGCTGCCCGAGGCCTGGTCCTGGTCCGCTGGGCGCAGCTCCCCAGGTGCATTGTGGGTAGGGCGGCTGCGGGCCTCAGGGTCCCACCCTAAGCTCCGTTTCCAACGTCCTGGACAACCCTCCCAGGTGCAAAGGAGGGATCCGGAGGAGGTGGTGTGGCCCCCGGGACGCCTGGTGGCTGCTGGGGACATCCCCTGCGGCTCTGCTCTGGTGTTCTCTCAGAGTCCATGCTTGGTGGCCACTCACCTCGAAGTTAGTTTAGCCACGTGCTCCGTGGGTGTCCCTCAAGGCACGGGAGCAATTGCTGATCGCCGGCGTGGTTTAGACTTGGAGGCAAATCGATATCACAGCCTTGCTTTGGAAAACTAACCAGATCAATATGAAATCTAATGGTCGTTATAGGCATTGAGAGGGCACCCCTTTTCCCATGGGAGGATTTCTCATTTGGTTGCCAGAGTGTAAACCCTAAAAGCACCCTTATCCAGAATTACAGTTTTGGGCCACAGGGCTAAACGTGAACCTTAAGAACTGCATGTAATCATTACCCAACAACCAGAACACAAAGGATCTCCTTAAAGGTGAAGGCAGAAAGGAAGGCTTTTCAATGATAAAGAAAAGCATATGTTCCTACATGAGGGATTTTAGCTGGATGATTTTGAAGGGTCTTTCAGTTGTACATTTCCTGAAGAAGCATGAACATATTAAGAGAAGGTGATTCTATCGCTAATTTTGGGTTTCATATTAAAACCCTTTGTTTTGAGGCAGGGTCTGGATATGTAGCCCAGGCTGGCCTGGAACTTGAGGTGCTTCTGCCTCTGCATCCTTGGGGCTCAGCCTTGCACATCATGCCAAACAAAAATGAGCCATTTCTGTACTTTTAAGGACAACCTTCGTGTTTTATAAAGCATCTTTTTACACGTCTTATGCTCTCTCTTATGCTAATCTTTAAAAAACTTTTTGGATATCATAATATCAAGTTGCATTTAAGAGATCAGTGCAGGTCATCACTGATGGCTTCACCAGTGAGCAAGGAAGGTTGTTTACAAGGATGCTAATTTTACAGCTTTTTTATGTCGCTATAAAGCATAACTTTATGATGTAGGAATGCAATAAAGGATGTTAAATGGAATCTTTAAAATTTGTATTTCTCAAAGGCCAGGGAAATAGAATCTTTCATATAAAAAAATGGGCTAATTCAGAACACTGATGAGAAGTTGCAAATCAACTAAAGTGATAGAGCTTTTCAAAAGACACTTATATTTTGTAGTATAGTGGTTATTTGTCAACATAAAAAAAGTATACAGACGTTTTCACTTGACCTGACTCTGGAATAATATTTGTTTTTATGGCAATAGTTTTTTTTATTATTAAAAATCCTGAACATTTTAAAGTCAGATGTGCCATTAGGGTAGGAGAAGGCTAACCTGGCCAAAATGTTGAGGTTGACAGTTTAACAAAGATAAAAGCAGACACTGAGAATCTCAATTACAAGCATGAAAGATTTTTGCTTTCAGAGGGAGAAAAAAACCCAACAGAATAATATTTCATTTTCTTTTTAGTCATTATGGAAAGCAACTCTGACTCCAGTTTGTTAATGCTATAACTAATTAAAGTTAGTAAGGAACAACTCATGGTGTAAAATATCAGAGTGCAAGTTAGAGGAGTGGAGCATGCTGGCTGTCTAGCCTCTGATGCACTGTGTTGTTTGCTGAGTAGCCTGTTTGACATCTGTCACCACATGCCAGCCAGAAAAGTCAGTCCATTATGACATAACTATATGATTGCTTCATTTTAATATACGTATTTATCCTTGCATCTTAATTTTCTTCTCAAAATTGGCACTAAGTAGCCTTTGTATCATTTGAGGACTGATGTAATAATGATGTTGCATTTACTTGTTGTTGATGAAAAAATACACAGGAATGCAACCTGCTAAAGATGATGTTAGATATTGAATATAAAATAGGATGCAGAGCTATTTGGGTAAATCAAGGGACTTATAAATATGGATATAGAGAAGAAATAGAGATGAAATTCCAGCTCTTGGGTGATTTGTATTTGTTCTTCTCGATGACTTTGTTCCGTGGAAATGAAAATGTGTTTTAATCTGTATGGTGGACCTTGTATTTTAATTTTTGGGATAAAGAAAAAGCTCAGGTCACACAGATGTGTATCCTACTAATGGCAGTAGTTAACCTTTCAGTTAAAAGAATATAACCTTCCCTTTCTTCCTTTCAGACATAAAGATAATCTCATCTGAGGGCATTTATTGTGAAGAAATAACAGCATGGCATGGTGAAACTACTGGCTCATTAATCCTGGCATCTACTTCCTACAGGGTTCCTTGATTAGTTAGATTCATTCATAGAGTATTTCAGAGTTTTTGATTTGTCACCATTGGCTGGGTTCACTGAGTTCAGGCTAAATTGAGCCAGAAGCACTGTTTATTAGTAATTTTGTAGTACAGGCTACCCTAATAATTCAGCCCAAATATCTCATCTGAAAAATATCCATTCATTCAGGCTTCTGATGTGGGTTGCAGCTGTGTTCATAGGGAATTGAAAGAACACAAGTGATTGGGCATGTATTTTCTAAATTATTAACATGATGGCTAATAGCTGTAAACCCATCTTCATATCCAGTACAGAAATTATGCTTCATTTTAAAAAACGAAAGCAGCAACAAAGGGGGGGGGGCACTCCCTACCTGGCTTTCTGCTTTCATCAGCGCAGAGCATTCAGCAAAGGAACTGTGGTCTGTTTAGCAGAGAAGCAGAACAATGCCTTTGTTTTCATTTTCCAGTTACGCACTATCAAAATAAGGTATGGGTTTATGAGATTTCCTATACAGAAACATCAAAAAATTCAGGCAGGAGCCTCACAAAGGATCCTTTTCCATTTTGGTGATGTCATAGTCTTTAAGCAGATACAATTAGTTGTTTGTGTAGCTGAGCTGCATCTTCTGTTCTCATGATCCCGTATCTCACATATCCCAGTTTCTATCTCTAAGGCCACACTGGATTTGTGTTACACTTGTTGCAATTGCACTTACTGCCATAATCTCACTCAGTCCTGTTCTGAAATAACTCACAAGTACCAGGAAATACATAATTAACCTGCCTGACATACGCAATATATGTTCTTTATATCTTTCATTGAAATGTCATAGGGCTTTATATTCTTTTGTTCACAGTACTTACTGAATCTATTTAAGATAAACTGAAGGTCAGACTAAAAACTGTAGAAATCCTTAACACTA